TGAGGAGCAATTGTCCCGAAAAAAACCAGCAGAGAGAAGAAGGTAAAAAATAATTCACTTTTTAATATAAAATACATTTATAAATTCGGCAGCATTTTTGACCTCTCCACATTTTTATTGATCCAAGAGGAGAAAAAAACAAACAAACATCACGGACAACAAATATAAAAGTAATGATCCGTTTGGTTTGTAGGAGAAACAGCAATAATGACATGAAAAGAGAGGTTCTTAGCTTTAGCTATAGCTTCAGTTTCAACAGCAAAAATGTGGCTTTCATCAATTTTAACATTGTTGGCTTCAGTCCTTCCAACAAAACTACAGCAGCTTCATATAGTCAGAGGACACGTGGACAAACCCACTCTGGGACAACATTAGAACAGTTGAACAGTCTAGCTCAGAAGCAGATAGATGGAGCGTTCGTGTGAACTAAGTTAAATGACATTTAAAAGTCATGCATAAAGGCTAAAATGCATTTTGTATTGGTGAGGTGAAAAATGGTGATGATAACTGGCTTTTTGAACTCATTGTTTTTATTATTGGAAACAGACACTTGAAAGCTTAGAACTGACTTTTTTTTTTTCTTTGATTTCTCTCCAGCTCCGAAATAGGACTGAACACCGACTGAGTCATGGCCTCCAGGAAGTACACAGTAAGTGGACAAAAAACTGATTTCTACAAGTGTAAGAAAACCAAAACGAAAGATAGAAAGATCTTCTTACTTTAGTCAATTAAAGTTAATTTAGTCAGATGTACTTATGTAATATTCAGAAATATATATATGAATCACAATGGGTGATTCATGTTGTGCAAGTCCAGTGGAAGCTTCAGTGACTGTCTGAAGGCACCACCCAAAAGGCATAGAAGCAGCATCGCGTCCAACGGGCAGCTTGCGGTTTCTGTCACCGTCTGTAAATAAAATCATTAGATTAGATTAGATTATTGAAAAGTATTTTTAACCCTTTTTTACATTGAGGCCTAATTTATTTTAAGACAAAGTGAACTTGGACCCATTAAGTACAATATACTGTATTTGACTTGGTGGGCCACACATGCGTTGTATAGGTAAGTGACCTTATAGGTGACCTCACTCAGAAGTCTCCTATAAGGTATATGTATCTTATATATATATATAAGGTACCTTATATATATATAAAAGGTGCATGTACCTTATATATATATATATAAGGTACACATGTACCTTATAGGTGACCTATAAGGTACATGTACCTCATATATATATATATACATATATACACATATATATAAGGTACATGTACTTTATATATATATATAAGATACATATACCTTATAGGAGACTTCTGAGTGAGGTCACCTATAAGGACACTTACCTATACAACGCATGTGTGGCCCACCAAGTCAAATACAGTATATTGTACTTAATGGGCTACCTTAAGGTACCTTACGGTAGGTAGGTACCTACCTTAAGTTAGGTACCTACCTTAAGGTAGGTACCTACCTACCGTAAGGTACCTTAAGGTAGCCCATTAAGTACAATATACTGTATTTGACTTGGTGGGCCACGCATGCGTTGTATAGGTAAGTGTCCTTATAGGTGACCTCACTCAGAAGTCTCCTATAAGGTATATGTATCTTATATATATATATAAGGCACATGTACCTTATATATTTATAAATATATAAGGTACATGTATCATATATATATATATACATATATACACATATATATAAGGTACATCTATTTGTATTATTGTATACAAATCATACTTTATAGGTGAACTTACTCAGAGGTGACTTCTAAGTGAGGTCACCTATAAGGTACATGTGTACCTTATATATATTTATAAATATATAAGGTACATGTACCTTCTATATAAGGTACCTTATATATAAGGTGCCTTATATATAAGGTACATGTGCCTTATATATATATATAAGGCACATGTACCTTATATATTTATAAATATATATAAGGTACACATGTACCTTATAGGTGACCTATAAGGTACATGTGTACCTTATATATATTTATAAATATATATAAGGTACACATGTACCTTATAGGTGACCTCACTCAGAAGTCACCTATAAGGTACATGTACCTTATAGGTGACCTATAAGGTACATGTGTACCTTATATATATTTATAAATATATAAGGTACATGTACATGACCTCTGAGTGAGTGTACCTTATATATATTTATAAATATATAAGGTACATGTACCTTATATATTTATAAATATATATAAGGTACACATGTACCTTATAGGTCACCTATAAGGTACATGTACCTTATATATAAGGCACATGTACCTTATATATTTATAAATATATAAGGTACATGTGCCTTATATATATATATAAGGTACCTTGTATATAAGGTACCTTAAGGAACCTTATATATAAGGTACTTTATATATAAGGTACTTTATATATAAGGTATATTTACCTTATATATAAGGTCCCTTAAAGTACCATATATATAAGACACATATACCTTATATATATATATATATAAGGTACACATGTACCTTATAGGTGACCTCACTTAGAAGTCACCTCTGAGTAAGTTCACCTATAAAGTATGATTTGTATACAATAATACAAATAGATGTACCTTATATATATGTGTATATATGTATATATATATATATGAGGTACATGTACCTTATAGGTGACCTATAAGGTACATGTGTACCTTATATATATTTATAAATATATAAGGTACATGTACTTTATATATAAGGTATATTTACCTTATATATAAGGTCCCTTAAAGTACCATATATATAAGACACATATACCTTATATATATATAAAAGGTGCATGTACCTTATATATAAGGTAAATATACCTTATATATAAAGTACATGTACCTTATATATAAGGCACATGTACCTTATATATTTATAAATATATAAGGTACATGTACTTTATATATATATATAAGGTACATGTACTTTATATATAAGGTACTTTATATATAAGGTATATTTACCTTATATATAAGGTCCCTTAAAGTACCATATATATAAGACACATATACCTTATATATATATATAAGATACATATACCTTATAGGAGACTTCTGAGTGAGGTCACCTATAAGGTACATGTGTACCTTATATATATTTATAAATATATAAGGTACATGTGCCTTATATATAAGGTACCTTAAGGTAGGTAGGTCCCTCCCTCCCTTAAGGTAGGTAGGTCCCTCCCTCCCTTAAGGTAGGTAGGTCCCTCCCTCCCTTAAGGTACCTACCTTAAGGTACCTTATATACAAGGTACCTTATATATATATAAAAGGTGCATGTACCTTATATATAAGGTTTCTTAAGGTACCTTATATATAAGGTACATCTATTTGTATTATTGTATACAAATCATACTTTATAGGTGAACTTACTCAGAGGTGACTTCTAAGTGAGGTCACCTATAAGGTACATGTGTACCTTATATATATTTATAAATATATAAGGTACATGTACATGACCTCTGAGTGAGTGTACCTTATATATATATACATAAGGTAAATGTACCTTGTATATATAAGGTACATGACCTCACTCAGAGGTCACCTATAAGGTATGAGTTGTATTCAATAACAGCCACTTTTGTAACTAAATGTCTACATCAATTTGTTTCCCACTAGGCCACCCAGTTTTGTACCTCTGCCTTGAGGATCCATAGTTGTCTAACATCTGAGTACTGGCCAACTCCAGGTTCCAGTCACATGTCGCCAGAAGCTGCAGACATTCTGCCCTGCTCCTCAGACCCAAACAGAACAACTGCTCCACCTGCGGAGACAAACAGAAACTAAACTTTGGCTACATCACCACCTTGAATATTGGTGCCTACTCTAAGGAAGTCCCCATTGCCAAAGAAGTTACCGATGACTAACTACAGGACTGAAGAAAAAACATCACATCAGTGCCCTCTAGTGGTGTGAAAATAAGGTACATGTAAGTTTACAGGAGTAGCAGAGTAGAGTACACAAGCCTGTGAAATTATATATTTAATATATAAGTTGCACCTGTTTTTTAATAATGTAACTCTTCTCACCTTTAGGAACTGGACAGCTCTCTGGACATTCCACTTATGCTTCCAGAGGGCAGCTTGACACTCCTCTATGGTTACACCATGAACTGCCTCCTGCACCTGAAACACAGAGAAAATGTGACATTGGAGATACATTTAATTTATTTTAAAAATGTTTGAATTGAAACATGTTTCAATAAAACAGAAGTTAAAAAATGTACGAAAATGTCTCTGTTTTGCATAATATTACCCATACATATATAAATATATATATAAATATATATACATATACATGTATATACATATATACTGTATATATATATACATGTATATACATATATACACACATATATATACATATACATGGTACATGTACCAAAATCAAAATGGTAAGGTCCAATGTTAATGTAAACAATTTTAGGAAACTGTTAAACATGATACAGTCTGATCATTTTGTCCTTAAAAAAGGTTTAGGGAGTAATTTAGAAGGAAAGCTACTGTGCCCTCTTGTGTCAGGAACAGTGTGAATTCATAGCATAAATTCACAGCCAGACATGTATGATTTTGTGTTTGCATTTTTACAATGCTTACAGTTAACAGTTTTTACAGGAAGTAGAGTGCAGAGAGTTCGATGGTTCGATTCCTAGAGAAGCCACATGCTAGATAATGTTAATGTTAACCCTCTTCTGTAAATTGCTTTGGATACAAGTGTCTGCTAAATGCATAACTGTAAATGTATAAGTGTATGTATATATATATGTATATGTGTATATATGTATATGTATATATGTGTATATATGTATATATAAGTATATATGTAGGTACATGTACCTTATATATATATATATAAGGTACATGTACCTTATATATATATATATATATATATGAGATACATGTACCTTATATATATATATATATACACATATATATGAGGTACATGTACTATATATATATGAGGTACATGTACTATATATACATATATATGAGGTACATGTACCTTATATATATATATATATATATGTATGTATATATATATGTATATATATATGAGGTACATGTACTATATATATATGTATATATATATATAAGGTACATGTATGTATATATATATATGTATATATATATGAGGTACATGTATGTATATATATATATATATAGTACATGTACCATATATATATAGTACATGTACCTCATATATATAGTACATGTACCTCATATATATATAGTACATGTACCTCATATATATATACATATATATATACATACATATATATATATATATATATATATAAGGTACATGTACCTCATATATATATAGTACATGTACCTCATATATATATATATACACACATATACATATATACTTATATATACATACATATGCATATATACACATATATCTACATATATACATATATATACATACACTTATACATTTACAGTTATGCATTTAGCAGACACTTGTATCCAAAGCAATTTACAGAAGAGGGTTAACATTAACATTATCTAGCATGTGGCTTCTCTAGGAATCGAACCATCGAACTCTCTGCACTCTACTTCCTGTAAAAACTGTTAACTGTAAGCATTGTAAAAATGCAAACACAAAATCATACATGTCTGGCTGTGAATTTATGCTATGAATTCACACTGTTCCTGCCACAAGAGGGCACAGTAGCTTTCCTTCTAAATTACTCCCTAAACCTTTTTTAAGGACAAAATGATCAGACTGTATCATGTTTAACAGTTTCCTAAAATTGTTTACATTAACATTGGACCTTACCATTTTGATTTTTTCAGCCGAGTTTTCTCCTCCATCTGTCTTGGTACAGGGGGCGCCAACCACCGCCGTTGTCAAACCATCTGAACAGACACAGAGGAAACTAAGTGATGTTTTTCTATGTCTGCTCGTGCACCATCTAAACTGTTATTGCCGGAGGATGAATTAGCCCTCAGCTCACCTGGGTAGAAAAGGCCTGGAACCTGGATGTGTCCCTGCGATGTAGGTCTGCTGCTGCTGCTACTGCTGCTGCTGCTGCTGCTGATCACCATGGGTCTGACTGTGGCAGTGTTGGCCGCCTGTTGCTGTTCCTGTCTGTCCTCCACCGACGGCAATGAAAGGCTCTCCGCCTTCCTGAGGAAGCGGTTGTAGCGATCGAGGTACGGCGGCCTCTCTGGCAGAAGGTAGTAGTGCGTGTTGCTGACTTTGCGTCCGTCACGTACGATGGGGAGTATACAGGGGCCTTTAGCAGCCGGGTCTCTCCCCTGAGACTGGATCACTTTGGGTGCAGCATATTTGGGGTCAGAGGTGAAGCTGTGAGTGGTGGCCATGAGTTTGCTCGGAGAGGTGGAGAGGTAGGTGCCGTAGGTGTGCGTGGGACTATGCACAGCAGTGTGGTTGACGGGATAGGGTCTCTGCTGAGGGGAGCCCACAATAAGGCCCATGGGACTTGGTGTCCTGGAGCCTGACTGGGACAGAGGGTCCCTTGGAGGGATCTGAGGCGGTAGGTTTTGATCTGGAGCTGAAATGTTTTCCGTGGCGTTCGCCGGCGTGGGGGACAAGGAGAGATCCCCGGACCAGCGGACAGATGTGTAGTCTCCTCTTTTAACTGGACGAGGTGGGATGGGGATCCGTGGTGGGATTTGGGGTTTGTTTTCACCGGAGGACGGGACACTTTCCCTGTCTTCCTCAGGGGTCTGAAGAGTCTGAGACGTCAGGGGACATAAAGTCAAGGTTTGCGGCGGGGTGCAAGAGCGAGCGGTGAGTCCTTTTGGTACGTTCAGTCTCCTCATGCACTCCTGCTGGAGCTCCTGGAAGATTTCCACGGACTGAGAGAAGGAAGCGGACAAACCACCGCTGCGCTTATTAGGGCGAAACAGGTTGTCCTCCAGACCTGGATCTCTGGATACGTGAGCTTCAATCTGCATCTTCGGACCAGAGTACAGGCCGGTTTCGTCTTGGTTGAAAACATCTCTGTGCTCCTTCTCCAGCCTCTGCTCCGCTCTGTTGATGGAGCTCACCTTTGGCAGAAAAGATGATCACACATTTAATTGCTATTCAAAATCAGTAAGACAAATAATGCAGGTTATATTCTGAGCAGTTATTAGTCACTTCAGTTTTTTAAATCTGGCCTACCGAACTTGTCCATATTATATAGTTAGTTAGTATTGTGATTATACTTCTGCCTTTTCCCCTGCAATACCCACGTTTACCCAATAGATGGGGTGGAAAATGATAAAAGCATTAGCCTTTAACAATAGCCTTTATGCATGACTTTTACATGTAACTTATCTTAGCTTCATCTAACTGCTCCTGACCTGGCCCCCCGAATTTTAGGACAATTACGGTCCACGAGTGAAAAAGTTTGCCTACGCCTGACCTATATACCTCATCGACCTTTCCTGGTTTTCTTCCATCCACACTCACTGCACACTACAACAGTGTTTCCCTTTCATTGCAGATAATATTAAAGTTGTTTTGAACCCATTTGTCACTCTGACTGCACTCCTCTAACTTTCTCAGTACCACAAGTTGCTCCTTAGGTTAAAAAAAAATATTATTTTTATAGCAACAAATAACCTCATACCTCCATGTCATCTTCATCTTGTGCTACGTCGTCATAGGCCGGGGGTGGAGGTAAAGGTCGTGCATCCCAGTCCACTATTGGTGTGGGGTGAAGAGGGCGTGGTAACGACTTCGATGGGCTCTGAGGAGGGGTCCGGTCCAAGATGTTTTCCGCTTCCAGGGCCAACTTCGCCAGAAAGGGGATCTGAATTTCAACAACTGGCGAAGAACAGGAGGTGGAGGGGAGAAACTCCTCCCCGAAGTCAATGAGCGATGGTTCACTGTTTTGGTTGTGGCCTGAGCTGGAAGTTGATCCTTGTTTGGAACCAGAGACCCTGACAGATGGTTTGATTTTTAAAGCCCTCATTGAACCAGTTTTCCGCAGTGATAATCTCTTCAGTCCCGCAGACGTGTGATTATCATCTTCATTTACAGGATCGTAGCAAGGTTCTGGACACACACACACATAAAAAAAAACAACACACAATTATGAATTAATTAATTGTACGTACATAGTCAGAGTGTTCATAGGATTGAGGCTGCACACCTGTGTGAAGGACATAAGGGTGACAAAATAAAGACGATGGCAGGAGCAATGGGTGACAAGCTGCTGAGAGAGACCAGACTTACTCTTGGTTAACACTGCAGCTTGAGGAGGAGGAGGAGGAGGAAGAGGAGGAAGAGGTTCCTCTGAAGACACAGTAGCAAAAAAAAAAAAACCCGCAGCAAGAGAGGAAGAAGCACAGAGGAGGAAAATTGAAGCAGTGAAGATAACAAGAACAAGAAAATAGGAAGAAGGCAATGCAAATTATTTTAAGGAAAAAGTTCAAGTTTTCTGCCTTTGATGGCAGTAAAATTGTCAAACATTTAATTGCAAAATTCATCAAACGGGCCTAATTGAAAACCCTAGGGGCAGTCGGTTATGGCCCGCAAGCCCTATGTTTGACATGCCTGGTTTAGGCCTAAGTGGCATGAATTAGTTATTTTTGCATCAACATATATTATAATTTATTTATTATTAAAAAAGGTTAGTTTGAAGTAAATTCATATTTATTTTTTGGGGGCAATTTTAACAGATTCAACTTCACACAATTAATTTAGCATTAAATAGTGTATGTGTTTAGGTTTGCTGATACTATATGGCAGTTGTTCTGAATTATTAGTCATGCGCCCTCTAGTGGACACAAACTGTTCCTGCCCTGCCTTAATTGAAATTCTATTGAAAATCTGATCATATGTATTTTCTTATCAGTACAAACCACTGTATAAGTTGCTGCCACCTAGTGACTGGTACACTTCTGTCCATCAAATAAACTGAAACCAACGGTTTTGTCAATCAATGACGTGATTGTCATGCATGTAGGTAAGTTTGTAAGTGTGCCACCTAGTGACTGGTACACTTCTGTACATCAAATAAACTGAAACCAACAGTTTTGTCAATCAATGATGTGATCGTGATGCATGTAGGTAAGTTTGTAAGTTTTTTTAAAAACGTCTTACTCACTTTTTGTACCTCCTGGCGGTTGTGGTTGTTGAGCAGAAGTTACGTCCAAACCCAGGACATCTGGAGGATTCATGGGATTGCCGAGGTACAGGCTGCAGAGAGGAAGAAGAAGGAGAAGAAAGACTTATTTTAACCAAGGTCAGTCACTGTAAAAGACCTAAGGTGTTCTAGTACCACCTACTGGTTCGAGATTAGTACTACACACCTGAAGTGAACCCCATTATCCACCAAAGTTATTTTTACTTTTTGGTTGCTTATTAAGCAAATATATGATTTGTAAAAAATCAATAAATAAAAAAACACTAATATAAATTTAAAAATCACTAACTACTAGTAAAAAAAATAAGAAAAAAAGATCGTACTCATCAATTCTGTCAGGAAACCCCCAGCAGCGGTGAGGGTTGGTTTCTCCGTGTCCCGTGTGAATAAAGCTGTTCTTCAGTGGTCGGCTGATGTCATGAGCTGACAAACCGGCTACTGACGTCACCACATTACGGGGGAACTGTCCGACTTTAGTCGTGCGCTTGTTTTGTCCTCGCCACCAGTAGTTCTCTGCCCTGGAACAAAGACATAATGCAGATGAGACAAGTCGAACAAAACATGTGAATGTCTTTATCATGATTTAAAATGTATTATATCAGAACCTATTTATATTATCATTATACTTTTTCCCGGCTATTCTTTTTCTTTCGGCTTTGTCCCTTTTTTTTTTTTT